GAGGAGATGGTGGAGGGCACCGAGGAGGAGGAGGAGGAGGGTGAAGGAGGGGTCTGATGTGTGGCATTCCCCACCGTATTGGAGTTTCCATCCTCCTTCAATGTGTTTTGTGGGCTGGAGGATGGCCATTCTCCACTTTAGGGCTCTCCATTTTCTTCCGTCGTTGTTCATCCCGATGTTCTTCAAGGTCTCATTCCCAGACCATCGTAGAGATCCTGAAAATCATCCCAGAATTTCTCAGAAGGGAGAGGGCTGGAAAAATGTTTTTTTCTCCATCCAGGAGAAAATCCAGGCTCATGTGCAGATCCTGAAGGAAAAGAAGGAGAAACTGCAGGGGCTGAAAGAGGCTGAGGAGGGCAAAAGCCTGGAATTCCTCGTAAGTGCAGCCTTGTGCCTTCCCTTCCCTTCAGTCATCCCTTCATCTCACACCCTGCTGGCCAAAGGTCTGCAGCATTTTGGGTACAAAGATCACAGCCCTGGGAAATGCCTGGGCTAGAAATAGCAAAAATAAAGAGCGTTACTCATCGCTCTGCAATGGAATTTATGGCTGCTCTGCACACAAAGTCATCCCGATGAATCAGCTCCGCCGCAGCGCTTCTACACCCCTGCACTGCATTTCCCTGCAGGAAAAGGTCCAGCAGGAGAGGCAGAAGGTGGCGTTGGACGTCAAGGAGCTGCAGCGGTTCGTGGAGCAACAGGAGCGCCTCCTCTTGGGGCGGCTGGAAAAGCTGGACCAGGAAATCGTGAGGAGGAAAGAGGAGAACCTGGCCAAGATCCTGGAGGAGATCTCCTCCGTCAGTGAGCAGATCCGCGAGCTGGAGGAGAAATGCCAGCAGCCACCGTGTGAATTCCTACAGGTTCCCATCACCGTTAGCTTCAAAACGCTTTTAATTCAAGCACAGTTGATTCACACCCCTGTTTTAGATGGGCACGGGGTTCATCCATCCAACCGTGCCTCTGCATCCAAATAAATGGCACGCCTAAAGATTGCATCCCTTCACACACAGCGTGGTCATCCAAACCTCCGAGTGTGCCTGCAGGGAATCCTGGTTTGGAACATAGAACACGCCGTGTGGGTGCAGGTGTGGGGCTTGGGGCCACGGTTTGGTGGCAGTGGGGGTGACGGGTTGGGGTTGGAGTCCTTGGATGGCCTCGAAGTCTTCCCCATCCTCAGTGATTCTGTGAGTGGGGTGGGTTGACCTGATGACCTCGGTGGTCTTTTCCCAACCTTAACGACTCTATGATTGGCACTAATTACACGTACAGAAGGAGAAGGGTCGTGAAAGTGGGTCATGACGTTGGGTTGACGTCGCTCTCGCCCTGATGCTCTCCTCCCTTCTTCCCCTTGCAGGACAGCAGGAACATCTTGAGCAGGTTTGTGGTTCCTTCCGTGCGTCTCTATGAGTGTAATTTGTTCCTATGGCTGTGATGCTCAGCAGTGAAATCCCACTCCCATTTTACCCCCTTTTCAGACCTACAGGATAAAAGCAGGGCGCTCCAAAAGGTGCCCTGGGCCATACAAAATTGCAACCCTACTCAAACATCTAATGAAATTAACCCAATAATTAAGCACCCAGGAGTGCATCCAGCCAGAAGGGGAAATGGATTGGAATCTCCACCCCCATAGCAGACCCTGATGCGAGCGGTGGTGGGTGAAGGGAGGTGGGTTATTGGAAAAACCCAAACCGGCGAGGAAAATAGGAAACGTTGTGCATCCCTTCCAGGCTGGAGAATGAGAAATCCCAGAAGGTGACAGAGATATTGCCTGCAGCAGGAGGGAACTCAACCAGCCCTGCTCAGAAAAACACCTCCCTCAAGGAGACATTGATGCAGTTTCGAGGTAGGGGGGAGAAGGGTTGAGTTTGCAATGGATTTGGGTCTGTTTGCCCTGTTTTGGCAGTTGGTGTGTATTTCCTTCTAGTAAACAAACGGAATATTTGGTCAGCTGGATTTTCAAGCATGTTTTCATGGGAGGTATGAACTCAATTGAGATCCTCTTTGGCGTTGGAAAAAAATTGGGTTGATTCTACATGTCTGTAGGCAACAAAATGGATCAAAGGATCAAAAAAAAAAGGATCTTAAGGAATAGTGGGGGATGGAATGCAGATCAGACATTCCTCAGAGGTCCCTTCCAACCTCGTGGTGACTACAAGACTCCCCTTCCTCAAGCCTTGTAGGAATGAAACCATTCCTGCATCACTCCAGCACCCTGAACTGGGAGCTGAAATGTCCCGGGCTGGGGAGAATGGGGAAATGATGGCTCTGAGGTGAAGGGAAAGCAGGGAAATCGCAGCCTGAAGCAATCTGGGATCAAGCCGTGCTTCCAACTCTCATCTCTCCCACCCTCAGAAAGTCTGACGTTGGATCCCGACACGGCGCATCCCCGGCTGCTGCTGTCCGAAGACCAGAAATGCGTGCGATGGGAAGAAGCCCGGCACCCCGCCCCTGACAACCCCAAACGCTTCGATTCGTCCCGCTGCGTCCTGGGCTGCCGAGGCTTCAACGCCGGGCGGCACTACTGGGAGGTGGAGGTGGGAGACGGGGAGGCGTGGGCCGTCGGAGTGGCCAAGGAGTCGGTGGGCAGGAAGGGAAGGATCAGCGTCAAACCCGAGGCGGGGATCTGGGCGGTGGGGCAATGCGGGGCGCAGTACCAGGCTCTCACGTCGCCCGCCAGCCCCATCGCGCTGCTCTCTGCCCCCAGGGTGATTGGGATTTATCTGGATTACGAGGCCGGGCGAGTGGCGTTTTTCGACGCCAACAACGAGGTGCCCATTTTTGCCTACCCTCCCAGTTCTTTTGGAGGGGAGAGGCTCCTTCCATTGCTCTGCCTGGGGAGGGGCTGCCGCTTCACGCTGGGCCCGTGAGACCCCGAGGGGCAGCAATGCATCGAGCGTCACTCGGTCAAATGTGGGGAAACCAGAGGGTTTCAGCACCCCAAATGTGGGGAAACCAAAGGGTCTCATCATCCCAAATGTGGGGAAACCAGAGGGTCTCATCATCCCAAATGTGGGGAATCCAGAGGGTCTCATCATCCCAAATCTGGGGAAACCAGGGGGTCTCATCATCCCAAATGTGGAGAAACCAAAGGGTCTCATCATCCCAAATGTGGGGAATCCAGAGGGTC